TTACTGTACTTACTGTACTTCCTTGCAACACTTCCTTACTCTACTTCCTTACTGTACTTAGAAGTACTTCTTTACTGTACTTACTGTACTTCCTTGCAACACTTCCTTACTCTACTTCCTTACTGTACTTAGAAGTACTACTTACTGTACTTAGAAGTACTTCTTTACTGTACTTAGAAGTACTTACTTACTGTACTTACTGTACTTCCTTACAGCACTTCCATACAGCACTTCCTTATTGTACTTGCTACTTAGAAGTACTTCCTTACTGCTTACCGCAATTACTTACAAGTACAGTACCTTTGTCCTTAATTTGTCCTACAGTACTCATCTGTATAGTACTTGTCTGTAAGTACAGTACTTGTCTGTAAGTACAGTACTTGTCTGTAAGTATATTACTTATCTGTAAGTATAGTACTTATCTGTAAGTATAGTACTTATCTGCAAGTACGGTACTTGTCTGTGAGTACGGTACTTGTCTGTGAGTACGGTACTTGTCTGTGAGTACGGTACTTGTCTGCAAGTACGGTACTTGTCTGTGAGTACGGTACTTGTCTGTGAGTACGGTACTTGTCTGTGAGTACGGTACTTGTCTGTGAGTACGGTACTTGTCTGTGAGTACGGTACTTGTCTGTGAGTACAGAAATTCGTGCATACGTTAACTACAATACTCAGCCGCTCACCTCTGTCGTACCTCTGACAGCACGACTTTTACAATACCGGCCCACAAAACTACAGCATCACCTACACTACCCGACACTACTTAGTACAACGTTCAGGCACCTACAACACCTAAAATACTGTCGTACGTTTGAAAGCACGACTTACAGTACCACTGACAGCCTCAGAAACTACCCACCTGTCCACTGTTCCCATTCTCGCGCCAAAACGGTTTTGCGTACGTCATTGCGAAATACGTAGCGAATCCACGGGGTCGATAGTTACCTAGAAAATCTCATCTAACGTCAAAATATTTAAACTAACGCAAAAAATTGGTCATCTTCTCAGGCAATACTGGAGACAAGTCGATGTTTGAGGCGACTGCTGGAGGGACGGCGATGATTACCTAAAGGATTCGAGAAAGTTTGGACTTGAGTTTAGGGTTTTCTAAAAGACCGGCCTTGCCTAGCTTTAGGAAATGTGGATCTGGCTCGACTAACTTTAGTTGGACTTGGTTTCTGGACTGTCTTCTCCTGTCCGGCTTGATCTGGACCTAGCTTTACCTGGACCTGGACTAGGTCTGGACCTGGACTAGGTCTGGACCTGGACTAGGTCTGGACCTGGACTAGGTCTGGACCTGGACTAGGTCTGGACCTGGACTAGGTCTGGACCTGACCTTTCTTTCTTTCTTTCTTTCTTTCTTCCCGTCTTTCTTTCTTCTTCCTCTTCTCTTCCCGTCTTTCTTTCTTCTTCCTCTTATCTCCCCGTCTTTCAACAGCAATTCAAGCTACCAAATAGCTGAATTGCTTGAGCAAAAGGTCAATCTTTCAATCCCATCTACGGAAATCTACCTTTTCTCGTTAATTCCTGACCTTTTATTATCTATTTATTAAAATGAGATCTCAAACCTGTCTCGCCATCAATTCTTTCCCGTTTACTGTCACTGATTGAAGAGAAGGGTTCACTGGAAATGAGATTTCACAAAGAACTTTTGTTAATTGTTCATTTGATTGACTAAAATATGAAATTTGGCATCTAATTTGTGATCTAATTTATGATTTTTCTTCCTATTGTGTCTCCTCGGGCGAGGAGACACAATAGGAATAGGAAGACACAGCTCTCGGGACAATAGGAAGACACAGCAAGACCTAAGAAGTACGGATATGCGCCAACTCTTGAGACTCAGAGATCCAGTGGTCGAGAGAAAAAGACTCAGATGGGCTGACAGAAGAAGAACACGGCCAGAAGAACAGACACATGGACGATACGGAGTCGATATGGAGATCAGAGTGGCTACCACGAGATCAGAAGAGGCCCATCGGAAGACCAGCAACAGGGAGCACAAGAGTGGGGCACAAGAGTGACAGAGATGGTCAGAGAAAGTGGCAGAGAGCGTCAGAGATCGCTAGAGATCGTCAGAGATCGCTAGAGATCGTCAGAGATCGCTAGAGATCGTCAGAGATCGTTAGAGATCGTCAGAGATCGTTAGAGATCGTCGGAGATCGTCAGAGATCGTTAGAGATCGCTAGAGATCGTCAGAGATCGTTAGAGACCGTCAGAGATCGTTAGAATGCAACCACCAGCACAAGTAAGTCGAAGACTTCGAACCAGAAACAACCAAGATAGGAAACACTGGATGACAATAGGGATAGAGGGTTGTGATCGCAAATAGAAGCACAGCGCAACACCTAGACAGCTCGAAAAACCCTGACCTTGAGTGATTGCTGTCACGGGACTATTGTAGAGAGTCTGTAGACCATTTCGTGTGGAGAGTTTACTGAAATTTGAAGAAAATATTGTTTATTATGGAGAAATCGATAAAATCGAGCTTTTTTTGACATAAAAATCAATTTTCTGATCAATTTTTGGAAGGAAATCTGAAAAGAAACCCACTCAATCAAAGCGGCTAAGCCTTCTTTGACTCTTAGCCCAGCTCCGTGTCCCATCTCTGCCAGCACATCGTCAACCGTACCTAAATATTAAATAACTCAATCACTCAACACCATTTCAATCGATTTAAATGAAAGTCTTGCAAATCGAGCTAGAATTGAGCTAGAATCGAGCTAGAATCAATAAAATGAATAGCGCCAATCGATTCACCGACCTCGAAAACCCTAGAGTACAAATTGAAGTGAAATTTCTTTTTTTAAGTAAGCGAAAAAGTATCCGCTGAGTTGCTGAGCACAATCGCTTGTCTTCTGGCACACCGTTCTGATAGATGTTGTTTAATAGACGTCTCTTTTTGTCCTCTAGCTCGAGCTCATTTTCGCAACTCAACCAACTAGCGAGGTCGTGCATTGCCAAAGCTTTCGACTACCAGCCACTACCGACTACCAGCTACCAGCTTCGACTACCAAAACTCCTGTCCAAGGGTCCTGCTCCGTCCCTCTACGTTCAATGTGTTTTAATTCAACCAGTTTAAGCCCCAGTTGTAGTATAGGGGATAGTGTGCTTGTCTACGGAGCTGGCTCGAGTTTCTGGTGGTGGATTCGATTCCACGAGTTGACAAACCGTTGCTTTTCCTTTTTCAGAATAATATTTTCGTTTTTCACAAATTGTGATACTAATTTTGCTTTATTTTAATGATTTTAATCATTTAAAGTTCACGAAGTACTATCCTAGTGAAGGCTAGGCCTGAGCCAGCCTGAGCCAGCCTGAGCCAGCCTGAGCCAGCCAGCGCAAGCCTAAGCCAGCCTAAGCCAGCCTAGGCCAGCCTAAGCCAGCCTAAGCCAGCCTAGCCAGCCTAAACCTAGCCTAAGCCAGCCTAAGCCAGCCTGAGCCAGCCTAAGCCAGCGCAAGCCTAAGCCAGCCTAAACCTAGCCTAAGCCAGCCTAAGCCAGCCTAGGCCGGCCTAAGCCAGCCTAAGCCAGCCTAAGCCAGCCTAAGCCTAGCCTAAGCCAGCCTAGCCAGCCTAAACCTAGCCTAAGCCAGCCTAAGCCAGCCTAAGCCAGCCTGAGCCAGCCTAAGCCAGCGCAAGCCTAAGCCAGCCTAAACCTAGCCTAAGCCAGCCTAGGCCAGCCTAAGCCTAAGCCAGTTTCGCTGCTTTCAACGTCACTATGCCCAGACTCTTGAGACCAATTCTTGCCTTAAATTTAGTTGTACTTTTGATAAAAATAGCTACAAACTGCTGAATTTCCATCTTTTTAAACAAAGATACTAGCTAAGACTCAAAGTTGAGCTGAGATTTACCTAAAATTAAAACTAAAGACTTCAAAAACTTCAAAAGCTTTCCTTTTCAAGCTCTCAAGCTCTCAAGCTCTCAAGCTCTCAAGCTCTCAAGCTTCAAGCTTCAAGCTCTCAAGCTCTCAAGCCCTCAAGCTCTCAAGCTCTCAAGCTTCAAGCTTCAAGCTCTCAAGCTCTCAAGCCCTCAAGCTCTCAAGCTCTCAAGCTTCAAGCTTCAAGCTCTCAAGCTCTCAAGCCCTCAAGCTCTCAAGCTCTCAAGCTTCAATTCCCACCATCTTCACTACTCGCAGTGAGCAGAAGTTGAAGTGGTGAAACGGCGGTGTCAGGTGCATCATAGAAAGTCTGAAATCGCAAGATATTGAACTTTTAGGTTCAATTAACTTTTAGAAACTTCTAAGCTGTCCTTCTAAACTTCTAAGCTCTAATACAATGTTCTATAAACTGAAAAAAGCTTGATTTTCATTTAGAAAGCTGAAAAAAGCTTGATTTTCTTTGAAAAAAAGCTTGATTTTGCTTTAGAAAGCTGAAAAAAGCTTGATTTTCCTTTATTCTTAAACAATATCTCATTCTGCAACGAGCTAAAACAGTCCTGCGACTCTTTCAGCTCGATAAAATCATTTTGAAACAGTCCTGCGACTCTTTCAGCTCAATAAAATCATTTCTTTCAAACCTGTAACAATCTCTTCATTCCATCACCATCAGATTTATCCAAATTATTTGTTTGAATGAATTTCGCGCATGATTGAGACGCCAAAAGATCAAGATCACTTGAGGCGAGAACGGTGTCGATTGTCGGCGATCCACCGAGGTTTGATGTCCATGTGTAGGAGCTGGAAAAGAGTGGAAAGAGTGGAAAGAGTGGGAACGATTTGAATCGAAGCGATGCTTGAAGCTATGCTCGTAGCTATGCTCGAAGCTCAGCTCGACGCTATGCTTGAAGCTATGCTCGAAGCTATGCTCGAAGCTCAGCTCGAAGCTATGCTCGAAGCTAGCTAGCTATGCTACAGTAGGCTTGAATTCCTAAGATTCCTATGAGCTTTTCAGACCAACCGTTTCCTTCTGCGAAACGCTGAAGTGACTGTTGACTGTGGAGTGCCTTGGATCACTGTTCTCTCGCCGCAGAGTGGCTAAATTTCAAGAGAAAGCTCAAAATTGTCTTTTATTTAAGATCTTTAGCGATAAATCTAGATCAATGCTTAAATTAAAGCTGTTTAAAGCTGTTTGGTGCGGCTAGAGTGATCTATTAGAGCTACAGTAGTCTATTAGAGCTACAGCAATCCATTCCAGCTACAATGAGAGCTACAGTAATCCATTCCAGCTACAGTAATCCATACGAGCTAGAGTAATTCACTGGAGCTACAATAGTCCATTAGAGCTACAGTAACCCATTAGAGCTACAGGAATCCATTAGAGCTACAGGAATCCATTCCAGCTACAGTAATCCATTAGAGCTACAGTAATCTATTAGAGCCATTAATCCCTTCGAGCTACAGTAATCCCTTCGAGCTACAGCAACTCATTAGAGCTACAGTAATCCATTTAAGCTACAATGAGAGCTACAGTAATCCATTCCAGCTACAGTAATCCATTCCAGCTACAATGAGAGCTACAGTAATCCCACCTGTTCCTCCACGGTCAATCCAAACTGTAAAGCCAAATCGAGGATCCCACGGTGCTTCAAGGAAACGAATTGAGATCCTAAAGTTGATAAATAGTACCGCAGTGTCGGACTACTGTCGGAGTACTGTAGGAGTACTGTCGAGCAAACTGACCAATATCGATCGATTTCGGCCCTTCGGGAGTGTTCATTCGATGTGACATCACCCGGCCACCGCTCACATTCCTCGCCTCTAGCACCAAAAGACTTGTGGAAGGGTTTTGCTGAAAAAAAGGGCTAAATTCAATAGCAGATCTTCAATAGCAGATCTTCAACAACAGATCTTCAACAACAGATCTTCAATAGCAGATCTACAATAGCAGATCTTCAATAGCTGATCTTCAACAACAGATCTTCAACAACAGATCTACAATAGCAGATCTTCAATAGCAGATCTTCAACAACAGATCTACAATAGCAGATCTTCAATAGCAGATCTTCAACAACAGATCTTCAACAACAGATCTACAATAGCAGATCTACAATAGCAGATCTTCAACAACAGATCTACAATAGCAGATCTACAATAGCAGATCTTCAATAGCTGATCTTCAATAGCTGATCTTCAACAACAGATCTTCAACAACAGATCTTCAACAACAGATCTACAATAGCAGATCTTCAATAGCTGATCTTCAACAACAGATCTTCAACAACAGATCTTCAACAACAGATCTTCAACAACAGATCTACAATAGCAGATCTTCAATAGCTGATCTTCAACAACAGATCTTCAACAACAGATCTTCAACAACAGATCTTCAACAACAGATCTACAATAGCAGATCTTCAATAGCTGATCTTCAATAGCTTAATTAGCAGATCTACTCTATCAGAGCTCTACTTTGAAACTTGAAAAGTATTCCAGTTTTTTCTTAAACAAAAACTTACATCAAGGATTCGATTTGCGGCTGAAAGTCCGGCTAAACCAGCGCCAATCACGATGACGTCATAAACCTGAATTCGAGTTTAGTTTAGAGAGGTTATTGTAATGTAAAGTGATCTTTGACTAAAGTGATTTTTTTCAATCATCTACTGAGCCGGTCTGAGCCAGTTAAATGCTATGCAACCTATACCATTCGACGCAGAATTTTACGCTGATTCCAAATCTATCTTCCGTTTTTGTTAGAGGAGAATCTGTCAAGAGTTATAAGCGTCTAAAGTTTTGTTAGTCTAGCTTTGTTAGTTTAAAGCTTTGTTAGTCTAGCTTTGTTAATCTAAAGCTTTGCTAGGCTAGGAAAATGTGGTCTTTGCGGTCCCGTTTAGGTCTTAACGGCTTCCTTGAGGTCTGGAATAGGTCTGGAATCGATGCACCCGTGGCCAAGTGGTAAAGCGATCGTTTCTAGAGCGAGAGCGCTCGTTTCCAGAGCCAAACCTCACAGGTCCAATCCCACTTCAGCTCTTTCTTTTGCTTTTCCCTTTTCCTTCACCTCTTGATCACTTTGTCCCATTGTGCCAATACTTCCGCCGATCGCCAAAAGGAAAAACCCGGTGAGCCAGGTTTTTCCGGGGCTCATTTCGCTGAAAGTTTGGTTTAATATAGGACTAATTTGTTTAAAAATGTAAATCTAAAGATCTAAAGATTAAATGAGCAAAATAAAATGAGTAAAATAAAAGTTTGTGCATGTTTTAGACGTTCTCGAGTACTGTAAAGGGTCAGAAATACGTCAAAGAAAGTTGTTCTATCACAATATCAAATGAAAATTCAGCCTAGCAGAGCAAAGGCCACATTTGAACTTTAGAAAAGCTCAGATATTGCAAAAACAAGTCATTTACTACCGTAATCCCTCTAATAGTAGCGCCGTACTGTAGCGTAGTCGCAAAAAATAGCCCTGAGCATTCGGTCAGCTTTCAGCTTTCATTTGATACCTAAGCGCACACTGTAGCATAAACGGCTCGCGAGAAAAATGGGTTTTAAGGTTAGACTACGCGACGCGTTGATCGTTATTATAGGGGGCGCTGTTATTAGACGTATTACGGTAGTAAATGACTTGTTTTTGGCTACAAAAACTAGCTACAAATTTGGTTCCTTTTTATCTACAAATTTGGTTCCTTTTCTCTTTAAATTTGGTTCTTCCGTGAACCGTGATACCGTAATCCCTCTAATAGTAGCACCGTACTGTCGGGTAGTCGCGATTTGGTTTTTTGGTTAAATTTGGTTCTACCGTGAACCATAATACCGTAATCCCTCTAATAGTAGCGCCGTACTGTCGCGTAGTGAACCGTAATACCGTAATCCCTCTAATCGTAGCGCCGTACTGTCGCGTAGTCGCAAAAAAATAGCCCTGAGCTTTAGCTTTCATTTGATACCTAAGCGCACCTGGTAGCATAAACGGGTCGCGAGAAAAATGCTTTTAAAGTTAGACTACGCGACGCTCCGTTCGTCATTATAGGGGGCGCTGCTATTAGACGTATTACGGTAGCAAGGATACTTTTGGAATGCAAAAACTACGAGCTTGAGATGGATAAGAAAAAGAGAAGAAGAAATGAATAAACTTGGGTAATTAAACCGGCTGAGGGGTCTTTCCGGCTGAGTCGGCCCGAACCCCTATCCAGACCGTGTGCCAGACGCCGCTTTTTCCAACGAGCGACATGAAAAGAACGCACAAGGGTTCCTTTACATATCCAACCAACTTTAATCCTTATTTTATCATCTTAAACTCAATTTTCCCCTGATAAACCTAATATTTATTTGATAGGATTTTTCAAGGAGAATCTGCTGGAAAAAGAATTAGGGAAATTCGTTAAAAATGGCGATTTTATGAGCAAAATGAGGGAAGCTATGCAAAAGTGAGCTTTGTGCGTTCTCTGTGCGTTCTGTGCTTGATCGTTTGCCTTCTGGTGCAGAAAAGTGAAGGATTCAATGGACTAGAAAGGCTGGGTTCCAAGCACAAAGTACAGAAAGTAGATAGAGACGGTTTTTGATATTTGGTTGGTGAACCGCCGGACTTTGAACTAAAATTTATTGAACATAAAACCATCAATTCATTCCAAATAATCTCCATTATGATTGACGACTTCTTCCCCATTTACAGGCAATTTGCGGACTCCTCTTTCGTAGAAGGGCTTTGGTTTGTGTCTGAGACAAGTGTGAGACTCAAAAATGGAGGACTGGAGATCTGGAGATGTCCAGTTTGAGCACTTCCTTCAAAAGAAACCCATTTTGGTATCAATAGAAAAGTTGTAGAGAATCAAAAATTAGGCTTATAGCCAAATTTCCAAAAAGATACACTTAGTAGATTCGCTTAAAATGCAAGTTTTGTGAAAATTCCTAAAATTTGGCATTTCTTGAAAACCAGCTTTTGAAGCGCTCTGAAAATTTGGATATAAGCTTGATTTTTGATTCTCTACAACTTTTCCATTGACACCAGAATAGGTTTCTTTTGAAGAAAGTGCTCAAAAAGGGACATATGACAATAGCCGGCAGTTTTCAATTCACCAACCCAATATATTGACTATTTAAACGATCATTTGATGCAGAATCAAATTACGCATCGAATGACACCAAAAACAACTTCAAATATAATATTCATGCAAAATGAAATATTGGTACGGCTGAAAAAATGCCCGTACAGTAAGGCAGACAGAAAGACAGACAGAAAGACAGACAGATACCGTAACCCCCTCCCCCCCTCCCCCTCCCTTTCCCCCATTTCATTTGTGAAAATTCGTAAATTTGACATTTCTTGAAAACCAGTTTTTGAATCGTTCTGAAAATTTGGATATAAGCTTGATTTTTGATTCTCTACAACTTTTCCATTGACACCAGAATAGGTTTCTTTTGAAGAAAGTGCTCAAACTGTCACATATGACAATAGCCCGCAGTTTTCAATTCACCAATCCAATACAAAAGATTCCCTTCAAATGAATTCTTATTTTCATTCTTCAATCCGTTTCCGATGGAGAATTCAAGTTTTTGATGGTTTACCAGGATCATTTCACAAAGTCCTTTTTTAAGTCTCCAGTCCTCCATTTTCGAGTCTCACAATTGTCTCACACACAAACCAAAGCCCTACTACGAAAGAGGAATCCGAAAATTGCCTGTAAAATGGGCAGACCGTTAATGCAATCAAATACAGTGAACAGTTGGGAAAGGTGAATGAATGCCTGAAGAAGAATAGGCCCTCCAAGTCAAAGATCGTTCTCACGACAACGCGTTCGTGGATGAGAACGTTCTCACTCTCATGTTGCAAAACTGACTCGCTCTAAAATAAATAGCCTTGTTTGGGGAACTTTTGTCGCATTCTTCATACAGTCCGGACCTCGCCCCTTTTGATTACTATTTATTTCGGATCATGAGTAATGCGGGAGAACACTTCGGGAGCTTGTGGGAGCTTGTGGGAGCTTGCGGGAGCTTGTGGGAGCTTGTGGGAGCTTGTGGGAGCTTGCGGGAGCTTGTGGGAGCTTGTGGGAGCTTGTGGGAGCTTGTGGGAGCTTGTGGGAGCTTGTGGGAGCTTGTGGGAGTTTGCGGGAGAACACATCGATTCGGAAGAAGCAGTCAAAAATCGCCTTTGAAAGTTTTTCGATTCAAAACCAAAATCCTACCACGAAAGAGGAATCCGCAAATTGCCTATAAAATGGGGAAGAAGTCGTCAATAATAATGGAGATTATTTGGAATGAATTGATGGTTTTATGTTGAATAAATTTTAGTTTAAAGTCCAGCAGTTCACCAATAATTTTAAGTTCAAGTTTAAGTTTGTTTTAGAACTTAAAATCGAACAAAATCTAAAAGAATATCTAAAAGAATCTCCAGAAAACATTAAGAATTAAAAAACAAGAGATTATCAGTTAAACAAATGATTCGAATGACCAAATGCGAGACTTTGCTGAGACAAAAATGAGCACAAAGACAATGAGACAATTTTTTTACGATTATTTTCTAATAATTCTCTTTTCCCTAATGCTAAACTATGCTTCCCACTTTTTATGAAAAACTTTTTGTCAATTTCTTTCAAATAAGAGAACTCTCTGAACCTTTCCCTCCGTTCCACTGGACAATCCCTTCTTCCCTTCTTCCCTTCATCCCTTCCTCCCTTCTTTCCTTCTTCCCTTCCCTTCTTCCCTTCCTCTCCTCCTTTTCTCATTCCCCTCAGGCTTTTCCCTCAGGCTTTTCCCTCAGTTCCACTTCATTGTTTTCTAAATTTTCGAATTCTTTAGCTAAATATCTTCAAATTCTTTTTAGAAATTTTGATTTAATGACTGGCTCGTGACCGGGAAAAGGGTTGGGAAAGGTAAAAGAGATCAGCAAAAAGAACTCGACAAAAAGAACTCAGCAAAAAGAACTAGACAAAAAGAGCATGGCAAAAACAGCTCGACAAAAAGAACTAGACAAAAAGAGCTTGACAAAAACAGCTCGACAATAAGAACTAGACAAAAAGAGCTCGACAAAAACAGCTCGACAAAAAGTGAATAGAAATTTCTAAGTGTGAAATAAAGCTTTAATCAGCTAATCCTCCCGATCAATCAAACAAATTCTAACAGATTTTAAGCTATAGAAAGAATTTTACAGAAGAACTTCGATTTTTCGATTAGTAGACATGAATTTTCTTGGGCGCAAAGGCAGCCGCGTATATAAGGAGCTCAGCCCTTTTGCCTTTTGACTATCTAACTTTGAGCTCGAATTTCTCGGTGTTGGGCTGTCCAATTCAAATGTTTTTGATATCATTAGATTCGCCTAGTCTTTCTCTATCGTTTGGTAGAAAAACTATTGAAATTGAACAATCCAGTGATGAGATATTTAAGGTCAAAGTTGGATTGGCAAAAGGAGCGTGGCCAGAAAGACCCTTTATACTCGCCCCGCCACGTTTCCCATTGGCAATCTAACTTTGAGCTCGAATTTCTCGGTGTTGGGCTGTCCAATTCAAATGTTTTACCATTCAAGCACACAACAATCCAAAGTACAGTAGAGGAAAGAGCTGATGGAAAGATTTGACGGAAAAATCTGATGGAATGAGTTGGCATAAAAATCTAGAATCAAATAGAACCAATCTTTCTGTTGTCAGCGTTTTCTGGAGTCTAAACCGTGGAAAAACGATCGTATGGCTGTAGTTTAGCCTTTTATTGAGCTATTTTTCGATTGTAAGACAAGTCCCGCCCCTTTTTCCCATTGGCAACTTTGAACTCGAATTTCTCGGTGCTGGACTATCCAATTTAAACATTCTTAATATCATTAGATTCGCCAAGTCTTTCTCTATCCATTGGTAGAAAAACTATTGAAATTGAACAATCCAGTGATGAGATATTTAAGGTCAAAGTTGGATTGGCAAAATGAGCGTGGCCAGAAAGACCCTTTATACTCGCCCCGCCACGTTTCCCATTGGCAATCTAACTTTGAGCTTAAATTTCTCGGTGTTGGGTTGTTCAATTTGAATAGTTTGTATAACAGTCGATAGAGAAAGACTTAACGAATCTAATGATACCAAAAAGATTTGAATTCGACAGCTCAACACCGAGAAATTCGAGCTCAAAGTTTGTCAATGAAAAAAAGGGGCGGGGCTTGTCTTTTGGCTTGTGGCA